GAATCCAGGAACTTCATTCTCAGCAATCCGCGGAAGAAATCCATTCAACATTTCAACAATGATCCTGCATTTCCAAAACATTCGGCAGTCGATCTAGCACTCCCTAATTTACATTTGCTGCTCAGTCAGTGCCAGTCACTTCTTAACGGACTTGACATTCAGGACAGGGTTCTTGGCATTCCCATTCATGCGAAGAACCACTTCTGCGCCAGGGTTCAATGCATTCGCGACCTGCGATAGAACAGTCGCGGGTGCTGATCCCTGCGAGGTCATTCCCGCATTCGTCTTGGATGCCGCAGTCGAGGAGGTCGGGGCATTCCAAGCATTCTGGTCCTCGCCATCATCATCGGCATACATTTCATCCCAGGTGGAGCAGTCATGCTCCAGACCAGAACCATAGGCTTGGGCAGTCGGGACCATTGTGTGTCCCATCAGCCTCCATTCGATCAGGCCACTGCGGGGAATAGTGGCATTCCGGCTCCATTCCTCCATCTCTGAGAGACAAAGGAGCTGTGGGCCAGTCTTCGTGTAGCTCATTGCATCATTGAAGGACATTCTGATGATGCCCATGCTCAGTCGAGAGGCCTCAGTCGGCACACTCCAGACCCAGCGGCTTGGAACAGTCTTCAACTCATTCTCCACCAAGAAGCCATTCTGCGTGCTGATGTGATCAGTGAACTGTCTATTAAAATAGTTGTTCAGTTTCATCTTCTTTGCTCCAGTCGTCACACCAGTCCATTCACGGGTGGCTTCCACAGTCGACCTTCGGCGCACGATGAACACCAGTCGCTCGTACGGGGCATTCTCGTCGAACACTCCTTGGCTGTACCATTGCACAGTCTTGCGCATTGCTGTCAGCGCGCAAAAGCTGCCATTCAACTGGTGGCACGGAAAACGGCTCAGGTCAATCTCGCCAGTCTCATAGTAGCTTTCGCCAATGCTTGCTGGCAAGAGGATCCAGTCATAGACATGAACCAGATCGTGGACCAGGTTCTCCTTGTCATTCTGGTCCAGGCGCCATTTGATCTCCCATTTTCCTTTGGTAAGGAACATTCGCTCAGCTTTGGTCATTGCCCACCAGCCAGTCTCCATCATGCACTCGTTCACATTGTTGGAAACAGTCGCCCTGATTCCCAGTGAGTTCATTCGCAATCTCAGGCTGGACATTACACAGCTTCTGCCAGTCTGAGCTGCGCGTCCTTCATTCGATTGGCCATCATGGTCGCCACATTCTCAATCTTATCAAGCTCGTCCTGGCTGTCGACAGTGACGTAGCCATCAAGTCGTCGCCAAATATTCTTCACTTCGGTGCCACAGTCCATCAGGTCCAGGGCATGAGACACTTCATTGTTCACAGCGCCATTCCTCGACAATCGGTGCGGCTGCACCTTCTCACACATCAGGTGAGTCGTCTCAATCGGGGGATCATTCGGTCTCCCAACATTCGCGGCAGATGCAGCTGCCGAGGCAGTGGCAACATTCGGCCCATTCGACCCAGGCCTGATTCCCATTGCAGAGTCAATCTGCTGAGGGCCAGTCAGGTCCTCCATTGGGACTTCCGCGATGAGCACTCCGCCTGCAGTCGGATCAGGAGTCACTCTGGTGAAAGCAGTCGGGCGAACAATGGATTCGCCAGTCGCCAGTCGGATCAAGTCTTCGCGATCCTCAGGCACTCTTCCAGCCAGGTGCAGTGCAACCAGTGAGGATTGCACTCCATTCTCCTTCACTTCTTCAACAGGCATTCCCATCAAGTCGGCCACTTGCTGTGCCAACTCTTCTCCAGTCATTGCTTCATGCCGGAGCTCTGGGACAGTCTCCAAGGTCGGGATGGCTGCCATTGCTACAGTCAGGCAAGGAGGCAGTCGCACAGGCAACCAGAGCAGTCTACAGTCGCACTAAGGAAGCAATCAGAGGAAACATTCCGAGGAAACACATTGATCTCACTCTACAAGGCATTGTCTCAGACAGTCCCTTGCACGGCGCTTGCAATCACTCGACATTCGGCGAGAAAAGGAATCGAAGAAAACATTTCCGAAAGATCTCATTCGAGATCGGAAACTCGAACATTCTTTGGTTTCGAGAAACAAAATATTTCAGTCGAAAAAACTCAGTCAAAAATTCTCTCATTCTCTCACACTCTCTTTCTTTGGTTTTGGGTTTTCGGGAAACACAAACATTGCACATGCAGTCATGACAAGCAATCGGCTTCACTTTGACCGCATTGACATGTTGCATTCACT